GGGATCTTCATGAAGGCGGCGGATTACCACAGGTAAGGCACTGCTAAGCCGCTACGGTAAATACATCTCCCCTGTTCAAGACCCAATTTATTGCACCATCTGCCTCTAAGCTTCCTCTGCGCCACGCTCTCTTTCCACTCAAATGAGGAGGACATACTGCCAAGGACAACGCGCTGAACAGTCACAATGGAGAAATCTCGAACGTTCCCGCGAAGTCGTCTGATTGGGCGCTGCGCCAATGCGTGGGGTGCATTTTCATCTCCCGCTACCTTACCCGAGAGCGGTAAAATCTACCCTATCTTCAAGCGCTATCGATTCGAATTCCTACCGATAATGAAGAATTTCCTGCTGCTGTGTGAAGGCCTGTGTTTGTTGATGGGTGCTTCGATTCGTCAAGGCTAAACGAAATAGCTCCAATGAAGTCAGGTATACCGATGATTCAAATGCTCACTTTCCAACGGCTGGCTGGTTGTTCACCTGTGCTTCACTCGCCACATTGGTATTCGAACTAAATGCTGCTTTTTGTAACGATTTCTATAGAATGAGGGAAAAGCTTGGATTATACCCTCTCTTTTTCTTTTCTTCGTATTGCTCACCACCGGGCACATCTGTAGGTTGTGGAGAGAACACTTGCCGGAAGTAAGCCTGTATGAAATCTGGTAAGAAGACCTTGAACGGGGAGCTTAAGAGAGTTAACCGAACCTGTTCGTTCTCTTCGGACAGGTCCTCAACAGTTTCCATCTTCGGAAGGTTTTCATATTTTAAATCATATTGTTTGCACACTAAATGGAAAAGCATTGAGTTTGGGGTATGAACCTAGAAAAATATTTGATTTGAATTTAATTTCCTTCCAAGTTGTTGGGCCCAGAGCTAACCATTATCGATCGAAAACGAACCATTATGATCGGTTTCTTTTATAACCCTTTTTCCCAGAAAGAGCTCAGAAATTCCAAGAGTACCACCCTTCGCGATTACAGGGTACCCGACAGGAGGCCCGTCGCGCGGCAAAAAGGCAAGTCAGCGGACGAGTCGCAGCGCGTACTGTAGTGATTTCGCGTCAAGTTAAATAGAATGTCCATTGCACGTCCTACATCGCACAGCACGCGCTGCAACTCGTCCGCTGCCTTCTTGCCGCGCGACGGGCCTCCTGTCGGGTACCCGGGATAACAGGTCACGCCCACTGGCTGTGGCATATTGCACTCGCGAGCCAGCCAATCACAGACGAGTGGGCGTGTCGAAAACATACCCTTGGTGCTAAAGTGCAATATCCCATAGAGTGGTTTTATTGAAGTTTCTGAGAAGGTTTATATAGGAATTCTATTAGGTTGTCTCAGAAGTTCGTGCGTATTTTGAACTTATTTTTGAGCCTGCACTATTCCAAGCACGTGTGCAACCTATCATCATTATATGTACCACCACTATCAGTGACTTGTTACCAACATCCAACCAAAGATTGGCAACTTAACTCTCAAAGGGCTGGCAGTTATGAGCTGAAAAAGGCAGTGAGGTCGATTTTGAGGTGCTAATGGGAATCGTATTTTTTGTCGTCAAGAAGGCGGCTGAGCAGAAAGGGCAGATGTCTTTCGAAAGAGAATGACTACCGCTGCACGATGAATGTGGTAGGCCTTTTCAGCTGGGCTTCGATATTCAGAATCGCTTCATTATCGAAATGTGTGGCCTCGGGTGTTGTGGAGCGTACACACTTTTTCGAGTTTTAACGACATTTGTTGGGGTTTCACCGTGAGTCTCTGCCGTTGATCTCCCTACACTTGAGTGAATTCATATCTATAATGATTGACATGTCTCTAGTGGCTTACTCGATAACGCTCCAAAAGAGGTGGAGCACGACCTTGTGGTGAATTTCTTCACTTTTCACCCTCTTCTGTCCGATCTAGTCCCTGGAGATTCTAGGTGTGGTTGTCATGGAACCTGAGCTTCTCAACTGCAGTAGTAGCTTTGTTCAACCAGGGCGTACGGATGGAGCTGGACACAAATTGTAGACGGGACTCGTGCCGCACTCCTGTCATCAGTGATCAACTCATGAGGGAATCTTTGGTGAGGCTTCAACCATTCTACGAAGGAGCGAGAACCTCTACGCATTGTGCATCTGGAACACCAGGATGTGGTTGCCACAAAGCAGGTAGCCCCGTGTGGAGTGACTCCCACGAGAGAGCACAGATTCTCCAAATCCGACACTGATGGCCTCTCTGAACGTGGATTTTTCTACCGGCTGTAGTCTCCTGGGCAGAGAAGATCCAGCTATTCTGATACCTCACTGTTGGTGAGGGCGCGAGGAGATGTATCGCGATGCAGATGCCGCTTCAGGCTTCAATCGGTTTGTGGCTCAGTAGAGCTGCTTAAGTCAGAGCGCGAAAAACATAGCTCTTTTCTCTTTCCACTTTGAACTCGAAGAAGGCGACGATGGTGGGCAGGATTCGGGTATAAGCTACTGCACAGTGTGCCCTATCCACAGCCTACGTGAACACATTTTGAATTTGTTGAAGGAGCTTGTGGCATGAGATCCAAAAAATACGCACGAACTTTCGAGACAACCTAATATTGCAGAAATTCTGCGACTTATAGACGCATCAGGTTACATTCCCTTGGTTAAGGTAATGAATTCGGAGCTAGTTCTAACTAGCCATCATAGGCTTAGAAGTGTAACGCACCCTCTTGGAGCTTTTCGGTTCCCTCGCTATCAGTTATCCTACCATCCCAGTCATATGGGTCCGTCAGATTGACTTTTAGCCGTGTAACTTCCTCCATGAGCTAAAACATACACTGATGTAGTTATCGATTATTAGGTAAATTTCAATGCCATATTTTTTGCTTGAAATTTTGCGACCAGCTGTCACATTCTATTTGGTTGAGTATTGTTACTAGGCGTAACTTTTTGTTGGCTCCAAGGGCCAATTCCACAACCTTTAGCCCGGGAATCAACTTGCGATTCCCTTTGCAAATAATTTACCCCGCGCAAGGTGAGTTGTGAACTCTGACTTTCTCAGGGTCGCGGTAAAGTTGTTCGCGAAGTAGGGAATGATTATACCATTCATCCGAACGTGACAAAGCACGTACGTGAGGCTGCCGCTTTGTGATAGAAAAGCCTGCAACTCTATTTCAAAGTTGCCTAAAAACTTGGAGATCTGGGTATCGCTCCCGCTGTATAACCTTTCTCCTCGGCTTTCTATTGTTCGCAACCAATACGCACTGCCTCCGTCGCAATTAAATGGTGCCAGCCTGTATGCACTGTCGTCCCGTTGATCGTCGATTTGCTCAAGGCAGGCGCCAGCAACGTCTCCATTCGTCCCTGTCGCGTGCTAGAGTGCTCCAGTGGATCCTGCTCGCTCGAGGGACACGAAGCCGTTCATTCCTTTCGTTCAGAGCTTTCGTGAAGAAGTCTGACCATCGGGCCGGCGGTCGTCCAGGTGTTCGTTTGACGTCCCGAGGGATCCAGTCGGTAACCGCTCTGGTCCAACGGTCATCGCAAAATCGCATGACGTGTCCGGCCCACCTTATCTTCGATTCCTTGGCGAAAACGGCAGCGTCCCTGATCTTCGATCGTTGGCGTAGTTCGGCACTCCGGATTCCCCTCTGCACTTGCGTGTATAGGGTTACTCCTAGCATCGTCCTCTCGACAGCGCGTTGGATAACGCTGACCGCATGCTCGTCCTGCCTGCGCAGAGTCCAAGTCTCTGAGGCGTAGGTTAGGGCAGGAAGGACAGCGGAATCGAAGAGGTGGGCACGGAGCCGGATGTTCTTCGTCTTCTTCACACTCCCTCGATGTTCTTATACGCTCCCCAAGCCGCTCGTTTCCTCCTGCTCAGCTCTGGAGCTAGGTCGTTCATCATATTGATTTCCCGACCTAGGTACACGTAGCTGGAGCATTCGGTGATGTTCGTTCCGTTGAGCGTGAATGGGGCATCAGGAACCAATCCGTTTCTCATAAACATCGTCTTCGTTAGGTTTGGCTGACAATAAAATGATGCGCACAATTTCAACAGTTGGGGCGCTTATCTTCTCGTTTCTTCAGTACCGATCTTTTCGTACTTAATTTTAGTTTTCTAGCTAAAAAACCAATTCATTTGATCGTGGAGCGTGTCTTTAGGTCACGTTTCTCGGATTTTAATTTCGGTTGGCTTCTAAGAGAATAATTTTCCAAAAATCGTTTCGTAACTTTTTTGTGAAGCGAAACTGTCTGAACAAGCCGATGGAACCAATGTGCTATGCTTTGTACCTGGCATTGCGCGACAGTTTTAGTTTCAGTGCGCGAAGTATTCAACGAAACTGAGCCATACAAGCAGTGCTGCGCGCGGTCGCGAAGCGGCACTGCTTGCATAGCTCACCTTGTTTCTCTACAGGAAATTTCGCGCAAATGCCTTTACAATATCTCACCATTTCAAAGATCCTTTTGTAATCTGGTCTGTCAAAGTAGCCCAACTTCTCAAACGTTTTCAATATTGGTAAGAAGACTTTGGATAGGCTAAAACAATCAAGTAGCAAACGCAGGAAACCATCTCTCTATCGAATTCCTATCAGTGCTATGAAATGAGAAAACTTACTCCGAACCACACAGTTTCTCGAGGGTTGTTTCTTCCTTTCAAACCTAACACAGCTTCTGGGTGGCTCACTCTTGCCCAAGGTAAAGGATCGCGCATTTCAATGAACATATATGCCCATGACCATAGATCGTCCACACGACCCTGAAGCAATGCAGTGGTAAGGATCCCGGAAAAGAGTGCGGAATGGCTGAAATCAGTACACCATGTGGTGGGGTTTAACGTGATTCAATGAAAGGAGATGTTCTGAAGTGATATTCTGAAATGATATGGGCAGCACTGAGAACGAGGACGCTCTTTGACCTTATTGGATATTTCAGATTAGGCCCTTATAAGTTACTGCCTAGGAATGCGGGGCAAAATAAGCCGGCGACGTAGATTCATCGCTAATGTATTGAAGAATTGGTTCACCTGCTCGTGTTCGGCGATGTACACCAAAGAACGGATATCGAGTGCTGCAACGAAATGGCCACCTGAAATTCCAAAATTCTGGTGAAGGGGGAAAATGGCAATGAACAAGTAACATTGGTAAGGATTTACTGTGGATATCTTGCATATATTCTTGAGAACACATTTCGTGAGATTCTCGTGGAGAGTTTCTTCAACCCACGAGGATATCGCAGAATGTTCCGCCCCTCGCAGCTCGGTCCGTGTCTGCGTCTCTCTCATCTCTGCTCTCTCCCATCTCTCGTCATCGGAGCTCTCAGTACGTTTTCGTTGCGAGCTCGATAACTTCGTCTGATGTTCAGCACTCAGAAGATGTTGATGTCTAATTAGTGTTTTATATTTGCAAAGCGCATCTTAATACGTATGTTGTATTGACAAAAAAGGGAAGCGGTTGAAGCAGTCTTGGCAAGTTTTTGGCGTCTTTGTTACGCACACTCGAGCTGAGAGAACGGGAAATTTGTGTTTTAACGTACAATTCCACCCCACAAACAGAAACGATTGATCCACCCAAACTCATCGTGTGCTGTGCCTTTAAGTCTGACATCAACCATAAGGGATGCAAAGTACCCGGTTTCTTCTCCGCTTTATGACCCATTCCGACTTTTCATTCTTCACAGCGTACTTTCTGGTCATTCCTAAAAAGTTTTTGGTTTTCAACGATCATTTCTTTTCAAACTCTTCATTCCTCTTACCGAAGTCGATGACGTGGAATGATTCTCGGTGATGCACAGGAAACAGCAAAATTGCACGGCTTGACATCTCGATGTACGAAGCCGATTTCGTGCAGCTGAATTAATTCACCCTACAACATTTCGATCGAACCCTTAAAGTCTTGAAAAACGGACTTGTTTCAGGGCAAGCAACGTCCTAATCGCCACTCGAAGAATTGTGCTATCGGTGAAGGTTCCCATCGTCTTGTAAAGGTGAGTTAGGTCAGCTCCACACAGTGTCATCACTATGTACCTGAATAATAGTGTAGTAAGTGTACTAACTTGCTAGGAACCCCTCAGAACAACGATGGATGCTGATTTTGTTGGTGGAGATTGCGCCTTTCTCACTGCTCAGTCACTTCTTTTCACCGTGTCAAGAGAAAGGACCGACCGGACCACAATCTCGAGGCTTACAATCAGCGGGCAGTGTGTTTTTGAGGGTTCTGAGCAATTTCTTTGTCTCTTTACTAATGATCGACCGATTACTCTATCTTTCTTCAAAGAAGGTACAATAGCACACTGCCATGTAACCATAAAATATGTCGAAGTCATAACCCAGGCAGAAGTCGTGTGAATGATTCCCTTCGGTCAAGACAGACCCTTGGAACACAGTCACACGTGTGGCATTCTTGTGCAGAAAATCGCACGCAAGGGCGCTGGAGCTTTGCAGTAAGCTGTCGTAGCTGAAATTTTTCTCCTTCAATGGACTCGTCTTTGACGCCCTCTCTTCTGTTGCGCTCTCTCGCCTCATAGACCCCTTTCCGCGCTTGGAAAT